CCTCAGTCTCTCTCCTCTCATGGCCTGGTTCAGTCTGCTGGCCATGTCTAGTGTACTTCTTTCTCTCCCTGCTCTGGACGCCTCCAGATGCCTCCCTCTACCTTCTCCCAACCAAACCTAGTAACGGTTATATCCTCATTTTCATTCATGCATATGTTTTATTTGTTTGTTTATTTATTTGTTTGGTTTGGAGCCTGTCCTGGAACTAGCTCTTATAGACCAGGCTGGCCTCAAACTCACAAAGTTCCACCTGCCTCTGCTGGAATTAAAGGCATGCGCCACCACCACCCTGCTTATGCATATGTTTTAATATAAACACTTTGTTCCAAATCTAAGCAATGTGCTAAGGATGACTCATGGTTGGTTAGCCCTTGGCATTCATTTCTATAATGATGGTACTCAACCTATGGGTCATGACCCTTTAGGGGTCAAATGACCCTTTCATAGGGCTCACATATCAGATGTTTACATTGCCATTCATAACAACAGCAAAACTACAGTTAGGAAGCAGCAATGGGATAATTTTATGGGTGGAGGCTCACAGGTCGCATTAGGAAGATTGAGAACCACTGTTCTGTAAATAAGCACACAAAGGAACCAGGCACCTCAGTTTGCAAATCAGTCTTGGTTCCTCTTTTATATATTCAGTTTGGAAGTCTCCCATAGCCTTTATGAGTCTACTGAACCTTGACACAAGCCAGTCAATTTCACTGTAGAAACCGTGCATGAGAAGATCCAGCAAAGTCATTAGCATATAGGCTTCCTCATGCCCCTCTTCTTGAGTGAATGTACTTTAAGTCCATGCCCGTGTACTCCGAATGACTAATGGATGACCATCTTTTTCCCCAGGCAGGTTTTAGCAACTATTTCGAGAGAGCAATTCTGGGAGCCAGCTCTACCTGTCCGAAAACTGCCACATTGGGCGCTTTAGGGCAATTTGTTACAGGCCAGCTTCCTAAGGTGCTCCATTCCCAGCAGGGACCATCTGAGCATTTCCCATGCACTGCTCGGGTTCCTAGCTGATCAAGCTATTAGAAGGTGTATATTAAGTACACCTCTCCAGAGTTGGGTAGATCACTAGCATGACTCAAGGGCATTTCTTGTCGTCTACAAGCTCCTTTCTCTCAAATCACAGGATCTTAGAGCTTGAAGAGAGATTTCTATGTAATGTCTAGGATGCTTCGTGAAGAAAAGCAAATTCCATAAGGAAGAATTATCAGAGAAAATGAGATATACAGAAAGGAAAATGCTATGGGGGAGACAAGGACCAGATCAAGGTGGAAAGCAACCAGAGTAGAGTTCTGATCTTTGGAAGAAGGACCAGACCATGGTGGAAAGCAACCAGAGTATAGTTCTGATCTCTGGAAGAAGCTCTGGTTATGGTGACCAGAAGATAAAACAGAGGAAGTGATTCATGAGGACCTCAAGAAGTGTGAGTATCTAGGAACTCAAAGGAATCTGACTGTGTGTGTGTGTGTGTGTGTGTGTCTGTGTGTGTGTAGAAGGAAGGTAGTTTTTGCTACTATACCCTAGCTCATAATGGCATAATTCTTAGAAACCCGAGGAACAGGCACTGCCCACCCAAGGTGGCAAATTCACACTGTACCAACTGTTTCTGGCCAGTTCTGCTAGTAAAACTCCATGCAAAATCTGCAAGCAGGTGGCAATATTCAGCACAGAAGGGAAAAACAAGTGATGGGACCTTCAGCATCATCGACAGGGGTCAATACTAGCACCAAGGAACAAAAGTGGGAGGGGGTAGACCTACAGATTGGAGACGGATTCCTCCATCTTCATGCCTATACCAACAGGAGCAAGGTATTTTTGTTGTTGTTGTTGTTTGTTGTTTTGTTTGTTTGCTTGCTTTGTTTTTTAATAGTCAGATTTGGGGAAAGGGTCCACTTACACTGCTTCAAATGAATACCAGTCTGACAGAGAAATGGCTTCACAATTCAGTCAGCAAGTTATCTCTCGTATTTAAAATCACAAACACAAGTTAGGCACTCCTGGAATTCCAGAACTCAGAAGGCAGAGGCAGGAGGATCACTGCAATTATGAAACCAGCCCTGTGGTCAACATACCAAATTCCAAGTTACTCAAGATTAAATAGTGAAACCTTGTCTTAAAAAGTTGAAAAGAAATTACAAACATGGAAGCTTCTGAATTGGTTAATATAAATCTATCTTACTCCATACTGCACCAAACATTACAAGAACTAAGTTTACAACAGAATTATTCACATTTCCAAAGAAACCTCCTTTTGGGTTTCTTCAACAGGGGTGATTCCTCTATGATGTTCTTTGGTGGCTTTCAGAGTTAGATGAACTTTTTAGAAGGACTTTTATAATCAAGGCCCACTTCCATTTTTTTACTAAAGGTATCCCCAAAGCCTCTCAACTGCCTCTCTAACTGTCCCCATGCTATTGTAAAAAAAAAAAAATAATAATAATAAGTCAACAATAACTAAAAATCCTCCTTCATCAGCAAGTATTCAATAGTAAATTCCTATTATAATATCTTAAAAATACAGAGGGAGTATAGGGGTGTTTCTAAGCACAATAGACTTAGCACTGTTTTCCAAAGTGGGGATTTCTAACACAAAGGTAAGATGGAGGTACAGTGCTTCAAATGGCTTGATGAAGATACACACAGACGCTAATCGGCCCCTGCACACATGCTATGAAGCCCAGAGTGGAACGGACCACTTTCTAGAAGAAAGTATCTTCTAGGAACGGACCACTTTCTAGAAGAAAGTATCTTCTAGAGAAGGCAGCAAGAGATAGGATCTAGGAATGAGGAAGGAGTCACTGCTGTCAGCAGCAAGGGGTGTGTGCTTGGGCTGGTGAGCACTAGAACAGCCACTTCTCTTCCCTCCCCTGACAGCAGAGCAGGTGAAATGCTGCTGAGCACAGACGTACAGGGGTGGGGTTTCTTAAAGCATTGTGTGTGTACTTGTTCACGGTCCTGGGGCATCTCCAAGACAACGAGAACACCAAAGGTCTTTTTGTTTCCACAGGTTATATTCACGGATAGTTACTACATTAGAAAACAAAATAGAAAAAAAGAAAGAAAACATAAAAAAATAACAATTAAAAATAATACAGAGAGGGGTGAGAAAAGAGGAAAAAAATTAATGAAAAGAGCGGCATCATATTATATTAGTTTGGAAAATCCTTCTAATCTGACCCAGCAGAAGACAGTTGGACTCCCCTGTCAACTACTGCGATTGATTTGTTGTGTTGTTAATATTTCAGATCACTTGGGCTCAGGTAAACTTCACTATAGTTTAAATAATGTGAATTAAAAAGGCACAACAACATCTTACCAATCCTTGTGTGGCTGGGTTTGATCTTGCAGGCATCAAAGAAAACCTTGGGACGCCTCTGGATATCCAGGCCACAAAGGAACGCCTGCCATATATATATCACTTAGGAGCAGTTACTATCCCACCAAACAAATGAGCACACTCATAAAGAGGGAGGTCACACAGTTGCAGGTAGAGGACAAGGTGTGACCACCTGGTTTGGAGGTGGCAAGGGTGGCCTGAGTCACGGTGGGGAGGAGAAGGCTCACTAGAGGAGCTAGTGACAGTATTTACCACCAGGGTGTGAATGGGGGGGATGGGGGCGGGGTTGGGAGTTGGCAGGGCACAGCAACTGGGACTGGAGGGAAAGCTGGAGAAATGTCCCAGACTTCTGAAGGTCATTTGTCACTGGGCAAGAAAAACAAACTCTGACCAGGTGCTGCCTAGAACACGGGGGTCCTTCCCTCAGATCCTGCTCCCTGCTCCTGCCTACCGAAGTAAGCAGCTTTGGGCTCCATAGAAACTTGGGGGGCCCCATTCCACCTCCATTAGGCAAATTGAGCTGGTTGCCTGGGCACACTGTCTCCTTGTTCCTTGGGAAACTTGAGCAAGCAAAGAAAGCTGCTCCATTATTTACAGCTGCCTCTTTGCACCACCCTGTATTTCCCAGGAACCCTCAACAAACAAAAACAGGCAGGCCGAGAACCTCACTGACGTCCTCTGGGCTCCCTGTCCGGCACCCAAGGCACCTCCTCCTTTCGGAATTCACCCAGTGCGGCTCCCCGCGGTGAGAGGAGAGGGCGCGCCTGCTGGAGGTCACTCCTCTGAGAATTTGAAAAGTGTTCAGCAGCTGGAGAAGTGGGACAAGCTGCTCTCCCAGTAACTGTCCCAGCAGAAAGCCAGCGCGAACCTCAGACACTGTCAGATAAGCTGGACATCTACTTCTGAGTATAGCAGTTCTCCTGGCTTTCATCTTCACACACACACACACACACACACACACACACACACACACACAGACACACACACCGGTCCGACCTACGCCATCAGCCAATGGGTTCATGAAGCATTGAAAGGGTAAAGTCGGTTTTCTTGTCAAAACTCGAGCGAAACAAAAGCCAAACAGCTTATGAAGAAGATGTGCTCCATGGGACCCCGCCCACCTCTCCAGCCACAAACCGGGGTTTCGTTTTTCTTCTTCATCTTTGCTAATTCCTCCAACTGCAGCAGCCTAGAAGGGTACTCTAGAAGAGTCTCGGAGAGTTCAAATGCCACCTCCTCAAAATGGGCCACCGATTCAAAAGTGACCTCTCTGCCCAGTTACTTGAGGCTTCTTCTCTCTCTGAGGAGTTATCTTTATTTCACCATTCCTTCACAGTCTCCTTCCCTCCGCATCCTTTCTTAAGAACGTAAGCACCTAGTCCCCTGCGACATCCCCAGCGCCTGGCTCGGACCAAGCCATCAGCAAAGGAGATTGAAATGAATGAAGCGGCGGTGCCCGGTGTCCGTGGAGCTCGCGGACGGGGGAGACCTGCACTGTCCGGGGCAGCCGGGCCAGTGTGTGACTCTAAGGTACCCGGAGTCAGGCTCGACGCGTGCCCCCTCCCTGCCGCACGTCCGGCCCTGGAGCCGCAGGTGTCACCCGGAGCGCGCACGGCACCGGCCAGCTCCACCAAGATGCACAGCCTGTACTCACCATGGTGGCCGCAGCCGCCCGGGTTGCGACAGCTGTGATCGCCCAGGATGCGACAGCCAGGGGAGAGCGTAGCAGCCACACCGGCTGACAGGTGAGGCGACAGCCTCAGACCATGGCTACTTCCCACAATGCCCTCGAACTGAAAGTTTGCAGACTCCACCCCGCGCCGGGCCGCTCCTCCCCCCCAGCTCCTCCCACACACCTTCCTCCCTGCTTCCTCTGCTCGCAGCACTCCTACTCCACCTCTTTACCGGCCTCCCGCTCCAGCTCCTCCTTCTTCCCTTTCTCACTCCCTCTCACTCACCTTTTCCTCCCCTTTGCTCAACCGCGCCCGCCCGACACCGTACCTCGCCCCGCCCCTCGCCACCGCGAGCCCCGCCCAGGGCGGTGCTTGCACCTGCGCGCGCACCTTCAGCGCCAGCGGCACCTGCAACCCTGACTTCTTTCCTGGTCTGGGGACGGCTCTCCTTGTCCCGCCGCCGGGATTTGTCCTTCGTGAATTAGACTAACATTCGTCGGATCGGCAGAGACCCCTTTACACCTAAGAAAAGTGTGGGAAACTGTCTGGCCCTACACCTCAGAAAGGGAGCAGTTCACACAGGTAGAAAAAGATGGAAATTTTTTACACACACGCACACAACACACACGAGTTTTGTTTTGCTTTTACCAAAGTAGCAATGCAAGAACATTCATAACCCTCTCCGCTTAAAGTTCTCAAGGAAGTTATGGTATTGAAACTTTTTTTGTTTTCCCTCCCCTTGATTTTTAAGCCTCGATTATTTGTGTTGTTTAAATTAAAAGATAATTATATTCTTTTCTCCCTTCAACTTCTCGCATGTGCCCCCCCCCCTGATTTCTTTCAAAATAACGACCTCTTTTTCTTTAGTTGTTATTGTTTGTATATGCCTAAATGAATAAATGCAACCTGCTCTGTTTAGTGTTACTCTCATGTGTATGGTCGGAGCTGACCACTTGGTATTGTTGGGTTATAATTAGGGAAGTTTTTAATCGCTACATTAAGAATCTCCTGGTCCCAGAGTTATAAGCAGAGATTTTAGCACAGATTAATTTGGGGAGAATAGATAGGCTTTGCCATATACCCAAAGAGAGACAATGACCCTTAAAAAGTTGACCTTTGTCTGCATGGCTCTCAGACCCACCATGAGTCAAGTGAAGTCCTTTGAAGGATCTCATTTTGAAGCTTTTACAGGATGTAGACCCCATCCAGGGACAGGAAAGCAAAAAGAACTCCTCTTGCTGGGCTCCTGAATTCCTGCCACACAAGTTTATTGTATTCACCCCTTGCCAGGCCCCGTGGAGGAGTCCTGGTGATGACTGAGGGTACACAGTTTGTCTTTCTGCCTGTCCTCACAGTCTCCAGTGGGACAATAGGTGACAGACAAGTTGCAGCAAAACCCTGGGAGAGCTAAAAAGCCTCTGACTTCTGCACTATTTAAACACAGATTAGCGACTGTAAATTGCCAGGAAATCAGGTAGACTAACCCCTGGGGAGGTGAAGGTTCAGACAAAGAAGTCAGAGCACTGATGAGAAAGATTTGTCCCAGACTGATCCCAAAGTCAGCCTCTGAGTTTGGAGTGCAGTGCCAGGGAGATCTGAGGGACAGGGAGGAACATGGGGACCAAGCTAAAGACACTCATGGGCAGCAGCCTCCAGCTCAAGTTCCCACAAAGCCCTCTGCCTCCAGGGTTCCAGTTGCTGTGTACTCTGACAATCTTTCAAAGTTGATGTCGTGACAGCTGCTGGGACGTGGAAGAATATTATTTGACAACAATTAAACACCCAGCGATGGTGTTTTGCCTGCTGAAAAAGAACAGAACTACAGAAAGTTTGCTTTCTAAATTCTTGCATTGCTTTCCTGTTGACTTTGGCTTCATCTAGCCGTAGTAACCTTCATGTCTGCTTCCACTGCGGCTCACTCCAGTGCAGGGTACAGTTCTGCACCGCTTGCCTTGCTGAGCCCATTGCAAAGCATCCCGTGCTTTCTGTTTTGGTAGGTTTTATCTATAATGAGGAAGAGGTGGAATTGCAAAAGAGCTTTAAAGCGAAAGAAATCTCAGTGAGTTAAGACTTAAGCCAAATACTCAAACAGGGGAAAGTTCCCTGAATGTGTGGCCCATGTTGGAAAGGGTGGGATTAGAAATTAACTTAAAAGTGAGTTGTATTCTTTGCCTTCCCTCTGACTCTGCTGAGATGGGCAGTGGACACTGTCTTGGGCTTCTGCTATCTAAAGGGCTTCCTTCCACATTCTCACAGCTTACAGAGTCACCCTAAGAGGAAGGCCTACCATGGGCTTCATATAGATTATCTCACCAGCCATCAAAATGAGAAATGTACCCACTGGACTATACATATGAATGTCCGAGTCTAAAGGGCAAGGCCCAAACGGCTGGTTCAGCTAGTGAGACACCAAAGTGAACAGGAGATAAAGGCATAGGAAGGCAGGCTGAGAGGCACCCAGCACTCAGCCATCAGGGACAGACAGTGTGCTCTTGGGTGACAGGCCACCACGCACAGTAACTTACAATTTCAGTCTGGCCTTCCTACACCGTCTTTTCTTCCCTCTCTCTCTCTTCCTTTCAGTACTAGGGATCCAGGACCTCACACATGTTAACAAGAGCTCATACACTGAGCTAAATCCTCAGCTTTCCTTTGTATTTTGAGAAATGGGGAAAATGAAGGACACGACTGCTCCTACCTTTGGTAGAGGAGAAGGATTTTTATAGGTAAAAAGGAGAACACAGCCAGAGTCATCTGGGAGAGTCCAGAAAGAATATGACCCTGAGCTGAGCCACGCGAAGAGAAGGGCTCCCCCGAGAGGAGCGAGCCTCTGACCAAGAGGTGTAACCTGGGCCAAGAGGTTGACATTTCCAAAATGGCTATGATTTACTGGATTATATAGGGCAGGGAAGCCCAGTACCTGGACTGGAGAAGTTTAGGGTCACCCAGCAAGCCACGGAGTAAAAACAAAAGAAAGATATATAGAATAAAGAAAGGTAAAAGCCCAGACGTGAGACAAAGTTAAAGAGTAGGGGGATAATTTAAGTTAGAAAAGCCAGCTAGAAACAAGGCAAGTTAAGCCAAGAATATTCATAAATAAAAACAAGTGTTCATGTATTTTTGGGAGCTGGGTGGCAGGCCCCCACCAAAAGTAAACAAAAATAAATAAATAAATAGCCCACAACTATAAAGTTTCTTTCCTGAGTTCCTGGCCCTAATAATGGACTGTAGCCTATGAATCAAATAAACCCTTGCCTCCCCAAGTTGCTTTTAATGATGGTGTTCATCACAGCAATAGAGACCTCACCAGGACACTGGTTTGTTCAGGATTACCTTGAACTCACTGTGATTCAGACAGGCCTTGATCTCAGGCCCCTGCCTCTACCTCCTGAGTTCCAGTGTTCTAACTGGCCTTGCTCTCACTTTAAGTCCTGGTTCTATATCAAGACCATCAACCGTCAGGTTCACTTAGGAAGGACTCAAAGTCGTAGTAGCTAGAGATGTTCTGCTGTTGCATGAGTCCCCAGTTAGGCCCCTAAGGTGCTTTGGAGTTCACAATCTGATGTATGAGCCTGAGGTTATTGTGTTATATGTTTTGGCTGAGGTTATTTTTTCGGCCTGTGCATAGGATTCAACACCTTACTTTAGATATCTACTTGAGGAGTTTCAATCATGAGATAATCACAGGAGCAGAGAGAGCGCAGTAGTAGATCAGCCCTGAGTTCACAGTCGGAGAGACAAACAAGGACGAGAGTGACAATGAAACAAAATAAGGGTCAATAAATCAAAGTTTTAGCACTTTAGAAACCGAGGGCCATTAAGCTAAACAGCAAAAGAAGCAAAGGAAAAGGCAACTTCAAAGGCCCCAGCCCTGCTGTTCTTTCTTCTCTGGCCTCCTATTAATGTCACAGGCAATCAGCATCTACAGAAGTCCCCTTGTGGTATCAAGGAATTCATCCGTCCACCATTTCTGGCCTTATGTGCTTTTGGGACTCTCTTGACTTCACACAGCAAGACAGTTGTTCTAAGTGGAAAACCCTACCCAATACATTTCTAGAGAACATGTTCAGAAACTGTTCAGTTAGAAGACATTAGAGGATCTGTGTAAAACTGGAAAATACATGCAGCTATTCAGTTAACACTGCACCTTTAATTCAACCTCCCAGAAATACTAGCTGCATTTACTACTTTTCCAGCCAGATCTGTGTTCTTTAGAGGAAGACTAGGAAGGGGAAAAAAAGAGTTTATTTTTAAATAGGTTTTAGTTTTGAGGTGGGGCCTTCCTGTGCAGCTCAGGCTATCTTTGAACTGTCAGTCCCCCTCCCTTGGCTTCCTAAACACTGGGATTGCAAGCAGTACCCCTGTGCCTAGCTAAGAGATTTCATTTTTTTAAATAAAAATGCAAGTCTTATTCCTATGGGTAAGTAAGGGTGCATCAAAGAAATCACTGAACTGGCCACTCCATGGTTAGGGAGAAAGTTTTTGTTGTGGGTAAGAAGGTGAGAGAAGAGAGAGAGAGGGAGTGGGGGGGGGGATGGTGCGGGAGAATTGTCTGTATTCTGTCAATCATGTATTTTAATAAAACGCTGATTGGCCAGGCAGGAAGTATAGGCGGGTCAACCAGACAGGAAATAGAGGCAGGGCGATAAGAACAGGATAATGCTGGAAAGGAGGAAGCCCATTCCCCCCATTCCAGCCCAGACCACTGAAAGGCAAGATGTAATCTGCCCAACTGAGAAAGGTACTGAGCCACATGGCTAACATAGATCAGAATAATGGGTTAATATAAGTGATAAGAGTTAGCAAGAAGCCTGAGTTAATGGTCCAATCAGTTTATAACCTAATGTAGACTCTCCGTGTGATTTTCTTTGGGGCTTGCTGGCTGTGGGGTACTGAGCAGGACAGATACCCCAACAAGCTAGCCTTCATGTTACAGAAAGAGAGAGAGAAAGAGAGAGAGAGAGAGAGAGAGAGAGAGAGATATCAGTCAGAGGCATCTGGAGAAGTCTAGAACAGAGAGGAAAAGCAGCAAACTGGACATGGCCAAGACTAGAGAAGTGGGGGGGTGGAAGACACAGGATATAAGGAGCATGAGTAGATGGGGGAAGGGATGCCTGTGATATCGA